TGCAGTTTCTGTGATTTCCCAAACCTGAGCCAGGCCTCACCCTCCGAGGTCACTCTGGAGCGGCAAGCACGACCAAAACCCTCCCGACCAAGCCCATGCCCTCTGCCCCGCAGCCCTTTCCGCTGTGTCACACTTCTCTTCTGAGATTCGTCAAGCCCTTTGAAGTCAACTGGTGACTGGCATTAAGAGCCAAGAGGCCCAGGGGTGGCCTGGGTGATGCGTTCAGATAAGCGTCTGACTCTCGGTTTCGGCTCAGATCGTGATCTCAAGGTTGTGAGACCCAGCCCCGCATCAGGCTCCGCATTCAGCGCGGAGTCTGCTTGGAATTCTCTCTCCCTCTCCCTCTGCCCCACCCACCCCCAAGCTCTTTCTCTCTAAAACAAATAAATAAATCTTTAAAAAAAAATAGCCAAGAGGTCAAGTTTTAGCAGACATGGTGCTCCCTCCACTATGAGTCTGAGGGCCCTGCTGAAGCCAAGCAAGCCCCCTATGGCCCACCAAGTTCCTGTACTTTGGGGGCCTCCCCCTTGGAGAGGTACCAGAGCCATTCCTACTACAGGGTCCTTTAAAATGGGGGAAACTTGTTCTGGATGCCAGAAGACCTCTCTGGTCAGACCCCCAAACAGACCCTGGCTGGCAGTGGACGCTGGACACCACAGAGCCCCCAAGGGAAGAATCCCGAACCAAGACCCAGGGGCAATGGAGGATGAATAACAAAGCATTTGCACCATGACTGGACAGAGTGTAATGGATTTGAATCACAGCCCTACCACATAATAGAGATACTGGCCTAGCCAATTACTGAGCCAAACTTTTTTCCTTCATCTGGGAACACAGCCCAGAAGTGAGGAAGTGAGTGGTCCAGAAAACTTCCCAGGGAACCAATGCACTCTGGGAATGCTATGTCTGCTGTGGAGCGTTCTAGAGCAAACCCGCCCCATTATTCAGGACGCAGAGGTAAGGTTCTGTTGTTCTGGCTTTGGTGTCTGTAAGGCCCTCCACCCGACATTTACTGGCACGTGACCTCTTGACCTGCCTATTAGCGCCCTGTGACCCAGGTGCCTTGTTTACCAGCCCCCGAGTGCCCGCCACACTGGGTCAGTCCTAGCTGCCAGGAAATGGAGCCAGAGAAAGTTGAAAGCCAGCACCTAAGAGTAGTAAGAACAAGGAAATAGTTCGAAAAATATCCTGCCCCAGGGCATAGAAAATTTATCGCATATTCCTAGAAGTCATAAAGTAAGAAATTCAGGAGTGCCTCCCCGGAGACACCTGAGGTATACTGGAAACCTTCCTCGAAATGCAGCTTTACTCGAAGTTGACTCGATACTTCTCCTGCTATTCAAATCCTGCATGTTTGGGGGGTAGTTGTGAGGATGAAGTGAACTAAAGGTGTGGAAAAGCACTCGGCATGTATTACTGGCTTTGGCACATGTTATTATCACTAAAACAAACATAAAGGCTGAGGGCTGACAATCAGACTGTGTTGTGAACCAAAGACTGATTAGCCCAATTCTGGCAACTGAGACTCCCCTGAAACCTCCTCCAGAAAGTGCTTTGCAAAATGTTCAACATGCGCTAGGTACGAATCATCAGACACTTGTCCCTTCCTTCCTTCTCTCACTGTGCCATTGTTCCATCTCTGAGTCTGGCCTCTGATCGGTGCAAGGTGTAGCCTGGAGGACGAAGATCTGGTCTGCACAGATTAAGGATGAACCACTTCCAGTCCTGTAATGCGCTGTCACAGATCTGGCACTGAGGAATGGACCTAAAACCATTTCAGAGCTATTTTCTACCAGGAGATGACACCTCTACCTTCGGAAAGAAGGGAAAATCTCGTCTTGACAGTTCTTGTCACATAGGCTAGGGACAGACGAAGTCCAGTCTGAGCCTGAAGCACACATAACGGAAAGTCCTCTCTAACCCAGACCCCCTCCCAGCAGCAGCAGGAAGGACTTCTTGGCGAATTGCGGAAAAGAGCAAGCAGGCCCTCAAACGCATCCTGACTGAAATCAGAGTTCGGGCCTGGAAGAGTTTAGGGGATCCTCACAGTCGGGTGGAAGACAGCTCCACAGGAGGAAGGCAAGGGCCTAGGTTGGGGAGGAAAGTATCTCCCAAGATGACAGCAACAGGTCTCAGCACGGAAAAGGGGGTGACATTGGGGTGATGGTCTTCCTAAGGGGTCAGTGCTGGGGGCGGGGTGGAGGGGCTGAAGGGCAGGCCCAAGAGAGGAAAGCCGGGGAGGGTCTCTGGAGTGAGGACGTCCGCAGTCTATGCTGCCCCCTCCCCACAGACCCGGCTCCCCCAGACGTCGGCGCTGGCGGGAACCTCGGAAATCTGGCGGCTAAGTCCGCACACCGGCAAACTGCGACCAAGAGAGGAGAAGGTCCTTTATCGTTGACCTCACACAGCGGCGGCCTCGAGCGTCGCGGTGGTCATCACCCCTCCACGCAGGCTGCGCCTCCCCAATTCCAAGACATCCTCCGAGACAACCCCGCTAACCCGTGCGCGGGCCGGGCTCGAGGAGCTCGCGAGCGCGGCGTTGGCGTCGCGGTAGCCCCAGCAGGCGGCAGCCCTGCCCCGAGTGGGACTCGCCCCGCATCCCGGAGCCCGCTCCTCATTGGCCAATCCTGGAAGCTCCGCCCCCAGCACGCGTCCCCGAGGCCGGGAAGAGACCCCGCCCCCGCAGGGGACTCCCAGGGTGGGCGGGGCTAGCGGCTGGTGGGGCGTGGCGCGGGGTCGCTCCCGCGCCCGGTTACAGCCTGCGGCCCCTGGCCTGTGCGGCTTTGGGGCCAGCCTGGAGGCCAGGCTGTCCGGAAGGGCTGACTCCCGGAGCGCAAGCAACGGACTATGCGCACTCACTCAATTCAACATATTTATTGAGCACCGATGAAGGCAAAGGCCGCTACCCTCACAGTTCCTAAGGGCCTTTAGCACCAGGACCCCACCCCTCCTCGTTTCCAAACAAAGAAGCCAAGACACAGAGCTAGGAGCCAGTCGAAGGCCAAACGGGTTTCTAGCTGCCAGCTTCTGGAGCACCACTCTGCTCCCGCACCACGCTGCACGCATCGGCTCCTTTTAGTGTGAAGAATGTTCTCTGAAAACCTATCGAGTGCCAGGCAAGCTCACAAGGCCCAGCCGGGAACCAGCACCCTGAGGGCTTTGGAAGAAATGAGAGGGCCTGTGTCCAGGGATCACCCCTGGTTTGTACTATTGCTAGAGTACCCGTGTTTACACAGGACATTTAGCCTTAGAAAGGTCTAGGACTTTCGACCCTTGAGGCATCCCCAGGGAACACACGTGACTAGCTCTTACCGGAAAGAGGAAGGCTCAGAGCAGCTCCATTTGCACCATATCCTGTCTGAACATTTGGTGACAGCCCAGCCCTGACTTGTGGTGCCCCTGGTGAGGGTTGGGGATGCCAGAGGAAATGAACAGAATGCCCAGCTGGGGAGGGTGGAAGCCCTTCCTCCCAAGCCCAGGGGAGCTTGGCTGGGCTCTCACCAACTTGCATACTCACTCTTGACCCAGAGATGATGGCAATGTTCCCATCTGCCCCCAACTCTGTTCAGGACTTGGGGAGAGAGTCAGAGGGACAAGTAGTGGCACAGCCAGGGACCCAGACACCTGGAAGCAGGTCTGAATGCTGGCCACTTCACATAGTGCCAAGGCCAATAAGACAACAATCAAAATAGCTGAGGACACAGTACTCCAGTTTCAAATAGCCAAAACCAAGGGTTGCTCTCTAGGCAGCACCCAAAGTGGTGTGACCGAAGAGGCACAGATGCTAGCTGCCACCAAGACTTCTCCAGGAGGCCTGACGCTATTGCCCGAACTCCTACGGTCCGAACCTCATGCTTTGGTAAGAATTTGTTCCACTGAAATACAAAGGGCTCCTTGCCGATATAGCCCAACGGGAAAGTCTCACCTCGCTCTGCACCCAAGACCTTCCACTCACCCTAGAAAATAAAGGTCTTTCCTGAGGGATTCTGACAGGGACAAAGAGCTGGAGAACATGGAAGAGAAGGGGGGCCCTGAACTTGAAAAGAGGATACAACCAGGCTTCCTATCTGCCCCACTGCCTCTTAATCTTTTGTGACCCTGAAAACGCTAAGGTGAGGTAGGATGCACCGGGGTCATTACCCCCTCTGACAGGTGAGGAACATGACACAGGAGGTGGTTAAAGAAACCCATCCCCGTCTCTTGCCCTATCTCTGCTACCAGCCCCAAGTTCTTGGAACACACCGCTCCTTTAACATGACAGCTCAGGCCGTGGCAGCCTAGGAGTCCAGCCTGGCTTCCCAGCCTCACCCACATCAGGAGCTTCTTCTCCAGGAGGAGCTTCCTGGGCTGGGTCTGCATCTCCCCCACCCCCTAAGTCCATGGAGCGTGCATACCCATAATACTGAGACCTTGGGGGAAGGGTCCGCCACTCCAGGTCTCAGTTTCCCCTCTCAACTAATAACCAAAATCAATCACAGATGCTGGGATACTGGGAAGCACTCTGGGCCAAAGAAGCACACCCAGGAAGGCACCCAGTATCAGAGCAGCAGCCAAGCCCCCACCAATACCTGGGCTGATCTGGACAGCCCCTCCACCATCCCTACACACATGGAGGTAGCAGAATAATTCCTGCCCCTCAGGGCTCCTGGTCCCCTTTGCAACCACATGTAACCCTTAAAAAGACACTAGAAAAACTCCATAAGGAAGGGGAAAAAAGTTTCAAAATAACACAGTAGGAAAAGTCAAATTTCCAGCACCTATTCTTCAAACTGTCCACTCTGCTGTGACCTCTGTGTACGTTACGAACGGCAGGCCTTCCGCGTCTCCGTCGCCCGCTACTGGAAGGGCCACGATCTCCAGTGCCGGTCTCAGATACCCGCCACAGTCTCTCACCAAAAGTTGGCATCCTCTAAGCCTGAAGGGATCCGAAGTCAGGAATGTAGAAAAGGCAGCAAAGAGTGATGAACCTAGGAAACGAATTTGAGGCTTCTGGTCATACACAGTCACCAAAAAGGCCACTGCTTCCCATCTGAATGATAAAAAGCTCTCTCCAAAGCTATTCCAGAATGAGGAACCAGCGCCAGGCACCGGGGGAAAGGCCCGAAGGCGGACAGGAGTCCTGCTGTGGGGTGACCCAGGAGAGCCGGAGGGTGCCCCTGCAGGCTCCTGGCCGCTCAGCCCTCCTCGCTGTGGCTGGGCCGGGGCCGCGGGGGGCTCCGGGGGAGGGCCGGGGAAGTGGGGCAGTGCGGGCCCGCCTGGCCTCGGGCGTGAGTCTGCATGTGGACCGCCAGGTGGTGGTTCCGGTTGAAGGCGCGGCCGCACTGGGGGCACTGGTAGGGCCGCTCGCCCGTGTGGATGCGCTGGTGGCGGAAGAGGTCGGAGGGCCGGCGGAAGGCCTTGCCGCAGTAGGGACAGGCCGGCCAGCCCTGGCTGGTGCCCGTGTGCAGGCGCTGGTGCAGCAGCAGACTCTTCCGCTGCTGGAAGAAGCGCAGGCACTCGCTGCAGTGGTACACCTTGCCGGCCGCTGGCCGCCGCGCCAGGAGGGAGCGGCCGGCCAGGGAGCGGCGGCCTCCGGGCTCCTCGGGGAGCCAGCGGATGACCGGGCCGGGCACGACCACCTCCCCCGGCTCCAGAGTGGAGGGGGCCTCCCCCCAGCCAGGGGGCGAGCTCCCCGGAGTCTCCCTGGGCTCCTCCTCCACGTGGGTCCGCTGGTGAATGGTCAGGTTAATCTTCAAGCGGAAACTCTGCCCACAGTCAGGGCAGGGAAAGGTCCGCTCTCGCCGGCGCGGGAGGATGCGGGGCGGCTCCCCAACGGCTCCAGGGGCCCGCGGGTCCGCCGCCCGCACCCGTGGCACCCCTGCAGCACGCAGCCGGCCAGGGCCCTCGGTTCTGCTCCTGGGCCCCTTGGCCATCCTACACACTGGCTGGCTGTGGGACTCGCCCAGGAAGAGCTGCTCGGGTATCATCTCGTCCTCGGACTGGGCTTCTGTCTTGATGACCACGCTGCCGCCGCCTGGAGAAAGGAATCTCCATTGACTTCAAGCGGGCCACACTGGTGCCCACCGAGGCCACGCCACCCAGCCCGGGGCTCCAAGCACAGCCCTAGCCGGGTTGGCACGCCCCTGCTCCCGTCTTCACGGAGCCCTTTCTCCCGCAAGTGCTCACAGCACACACACCAGGGACCCTGTTCCCTTGGCCCTACGGAGCAGGCACTGTCGCCTGAGCAGCCCCCCACTGGCTGCTTGCTGTCACATGGCCCATTCCTGGAGGCCAAGCTACGGACATCAGGAGAGAGGAGACAAAGCCGCAAAACCAGAAGCCAGGGCGCCAGGGGTCAGAGGGCAGACGGAGTGAAAGCAAACAGGTGGGAGGATGTGGGGGAGACCCTGCACCCTGAGATACATTGGCCGCACAGATCCCCAGGAGTTCTGACGACGTTAGTTCCCATCTGTGAATGACAGGGAGCCCTGGGGCCGCTGGGGCAGGTAAGGAACCTCGGGCCTAGAGGAGGCCAGCGTCTCAGCCACGCTCCCAGCTGCTCATCCAGGTAACAAATCTACCTGAGCATCCACTTCCTGTCCGGCACCTGCTCTCCGGGGACAGGTGGGAGGCACGAGGACCTCGGCTTCCTGGCTGGACCTCAGTGTGAGTCAGCACTTGACTCTGAGATGGGATTAAGGCTGGGAACTGCCAGGACAGAGGAGAGAGTGGGGGCTTGGAGGCAACGCACGGGCCCTGGTGCTGGGAAGGAAGATCCCGGCCAAAGGCCCTACCTGGAACACCGTGCACTCTTCGAGATCCTTCATTGCTGTTCCCCTCTGGGCTTTTCTGGAATCAGCCCCGACTGCTTTCTCTGACCTCCCCCCAAGCCCAGCAGCTCAGCTGCTGCAGCCCATGGTCTGTTCGAAGGCTGAGAGTGAACCTTACCCTCTGCCTATTCGAACGGAACCTTTAGCCTCTTACGAGCGATTTCCAAGGTCCAGAGCAAGAGGGAGTTTGCTTCTTGCTGAAGCATGAATTTAAATCCCACCCCAGGAGACTCTGCTAACTGCCGAACCTTCTAGACCAGCACCTGATGTCAAGACCTCGGGGTTCTTTGCTCAAGTGCAGCTTCCCAGCAACCCTCACAAATAACTCCGGACAAAACTTTGGTTTCTATGTTGGGCATGACCCTGCCGTTTGCAATTTAGTCCTACAGCTACAGAATCAGTTAAGAGTCTCTAAGAAGCATCTGAACTTTGCATCTAAAGTGTTGCATTTAATGGGCTACTATGGTATTCCTAAACTTGGGGATTAGTGCGGGTCTCTGGCCCTATTCCATGTGAAGGCCAAGGTTCCCAGACCTCTTCATCTGAAGCCCATCTCCAGCTTGGACGCCCACCATGCCACAACCCCAAGGTGGGCCCACATCTCACCTCTGCCTCCCATCAAAGCAGGATGGGACCAGGTGAGAACTGGATCCCTTTCTCTCAGGGTAGAAAACCACCCCAAAGCTGGAATGGGCGATAATTGCTACATTTTTTCCTGCTCATCAGGGTGTAAGCCCAGTTTTGTGGCCTCTAGGCGGAGGACCTGAATTTAAATCGTAGACCACCGCATACAAACTGTGAGACATCGGCGAGTGTTCGTTGGGACCATTCACAGGGTTGCCGTGAGGCCCTTCTGTCACTAGACCCCGAACCTGGTGTGCGCAGCCTGTGTTCCAGCAACACCTTTCCACCAAGACAGACCTGATGGGGGAAGACCAGGACCTAGACGGTCGGGGTCACGAAGAGCCGTAGGGCAACAGGACATGGGAATGAGGCAGGGACCCCTAGGAAGAAGCACCCTCCCGGGGCCCACTGCACTGCCTCCCACCCCACAGCTAAGGGCCCCTCCCGTCACTCACCTGGACCCATGCCGGGCAGCCTCTCCCTGGGAGGGGATGCTGGAGACTTCCCACCTGAAAATTCTTGCTCCTGTTTAACCACGGCTGGAGGCCCTGTGCGAGAGACACTGTGAGGGCCCTTCCTGACACTGGGCTCGTGCAGGACGGCAGAGGCTCCAAGCAGACCCCGGATATGCTCGAATGCCTGCTCTGTCCAGGGGACTGCTTGCTCCATGACCTCTGCTTCGGAGGGGAGAGGAAAGCCATGAAGGCCTTGCCCCTAGTTCCCATCTGGGCCAGCGCGGACAACTCCGTCACCCTCACGGACCATCGAAGGACAGAGGGTTTGGGGAGGCCCCTGGGGCCCGGCGCCAGGTCTGCAGGGGAGCAGGGACAAAGAGAAGGTCCTCTCTGCTTACACACTGGCTGGGCAGGAGGGCACGGGGAGAGAGGGAAGGTCACCCCCCCACCCCAGGGAGCTCATAGTCACTGGAGGGAAAGCAACCCAGACTGAAAAGTCAGGCTCGCGGGAACAAGGAGGAAGGAGGAGGAAGACGGCAGGAGAAGGCAAGCTAGCAAAGCCACGCTGCAGGCAGACAGCAGGGCTCTGGAGTAAATGTGTGAGGCCAAATGCCCTCCGAGTTGTGCTCTATTTTGTGAAAGGACGGACAGGAACTTCCTTCACACACGAGCAGACAGAGAGCACTGGAAGGGGGAACGGAAGCCAGAGAGTCCCCCACAGGCCTCCAGAGAGAGGACATTTGCTGAGGAATGAATGCACGTGCCAGCACCGCGCTAGGCCCAGAACACAGACCGCCCGGTTAACGGGACCATTGCAGGAAGCCGGAGGAGGCCCGGTACCTGCCTTCATGTGCCCTTCTCCTCACTCCAGCCCAGCCAGAGGGCCTGGCCCCTAGCAGGCCTCAGGAACCCACACTTTTGCTCAGCCCATTTTCTCCTGCAAAAAACGCCCTTCATTCCTAGCTAAAATCTACGCTTCCTCCTCTAAGGCCTGTCGCAGGGTCCCCTTCCCAGGAAGCCCGTCCAGCTCAGCCAAGCCTGGTGCCCGTCATCTGTCCCACCCTCACGCTTCAGCACGTTTCTCAGTAGTGCCCCTCTGGTCGTGTGTCAAGATGCTCTTTGCACGGCGGCCCGGCGGCCCTCACTCACCCGTGCTTGCTCCGGGTACGGTCACTCTCGTCTCGGAGTCTTGCCGGTGCCTGGGGACCTGTTCTTCTTTTGGTTCTTCCCGGGCAGGGCTGACGGGGCCGAGGATGTGCTCTGGACGTGGAGGGACGCCTGGAAAATGCAACTCAGTGACGCCAAGGACAACACAGCGATCCCTCCCGGTGGCAGGAGCCTGTGCTGCAGGGCCGCCTGCAGTCACCGGGACTGGGGGACATCGGGTCCAACACAGGCTAGGACATTTAAGTGGACTTCACAGATTGCTCGTGGCTAAAAGAGAAGGAAAAGATACAGCACAGTAACGTCTGAGCGCACCAGACAAGTCGTGAGGCTTGTTAGGGCGTCCGGCTCAGAACAACACAACAGTGGCTTCCGGGCCCAAGTCCTATACCACCCTGACATATAGGGATCCCCCTGGAAGCACCCCAAGATTCTCCTCGGTGGTTCTGGGTAGGCCTAAGAATTACGCATTTCTTGAAAAACATTTTATTGTATTTATTTTTAAAGATTTTACTTATTTGAGAGAGACAGTGAGTACATGCACACACAAGCAAGGGGAGGGGCAGAGAGAGAAGGAGAAGCAGGTTCCTCACTGAGCAGGGAGCCTGACATGGGGCTTGATCCTGAGGTCCCAGGATCATGAACCGAGCCAAAAGCAGATGCTTAACCAACTAAGTTACACAGGTGCCCCTGCAGTTTTGTTTTTTTTTTAAAGATTTAATATATCTGAGAGAGAGAGAGAAAGAGAGCACAAGTTCGAACATGAGTGGGGAGAGGGAGAGACAGAGGGAGAGAGGCAGAGAGAAGCAGGTTCCCTGCTGAGCAAGGAGCCTGACACAGGACTCAATCCCAGGACCCTGAGATGATGACCCAGGCCAAAGTCAGATGCGAACGAGCCACCTGGGCACCCATTAATCGCATTTTAAAAAAGGTTCTAGGTCAAAAGAGATGAACACAGAGTTCACAGAGTAAGAAATTTAAATGGCCCATAAATAAAAGGATACTCACCCACCTTCATGTAAGAGAGGTATCATGAAAAATACACTGCTAATGGGGCGCCTGGGTGGCTCAGTCGTTAAGCATGTGTCTTCGGCTCAGGTCAGATCCCAGGGTCCTGAGATCAAGCCCTGCATCGGGCTCCCTGTTCAGTAGGGAGCCTGTTTCTCCGTCCCCTGCGATGCTCACACACTCTCTCTCTCTCTGTCAAATCAGTAAATAAAATCTTAAAAAAAAAAAAAACCACTGTTGGGGCACCCGGATGGCTCAGTCAGTTGGGAGCCCCACATCAGGCTCCCCAATCAGCAGGGAGTCTGCGTCTCCCTTTGACCCTCCCCCATCTTGTGCTCTCTCTCTCTCTCTCAAATAAATAAAATCTAAAAAAACCCAACCAAACAAACAACTGTTGCCGGGGTGCTGAGGGGCTCAGTCATTTAAGCATCTGCCTTCAGCTCAGGTCATGATCCCAGGCTCCTGAGATCGAGCCCTGCACTGGGCTCCCTGCTCAATGGGGAGTCTGCTTCTCCCTTTCCCTCTGCCACCCCAACCCCTCATGCTCTCTCTCTCTCAAATAAATAAATGAAATCTTGGGGGGAAAAAAAGGATTAAACACCATGACCAAGTAGAGTGTATTCCTGGAATGCAATGTTAGTTCAGCATATGAAACAAAACCAACAGAACACACCATATTAACAGAATGAAGGGAAAACACCTCACGAAAACAGGGAAAACATCTCAGTTAATGCAGAAAAAGCATCTGACAAAATTCAACACCCTTCCATGATAAAACCATTCAAAAGACCAGACACAGAAACTATCTCAACATAATAAAAGCCATATATGAAAAACCAACAGTGAACAGCACATTCAATGGTCAAAGAATGAAAGCTTTTCCCCTAAGATAAGGAACAAGGCAAAATGTCCACTTTTACCACCCATTCAACAAAGGACTGGAAGCCCCAGCCAGAGCAAGTTAACAAGAAACAGAAATAAATAACATCCAAATTGGAAAGGAAGAAATAAAATTATCTCTTCAAAGATGAAATATGTAGAAAACCCTAAAGATTCCACAAAGAACTGTAGGGACTAGCAAATTAATTCAACAAAGTAGCAGGACAAAAGTCAATATACAAAAATTAGTATTTCTATACACTAATAACAAGCAATTTGAAAAGAAAATTACAAAAACAATTCTACTTATAATAGTATCAAAAAGAATGAAAGCCTCAAGAATTATTTAACTGGGGCACTCGGGTGCCTCAGTGGGTTAAGCCTCTGCCTTTGGCTCAGGTCATGATCTCAGGGTCCTGGGATCAAGCCCCGCTTCGGGCTCTCTGTTCAGCAGGGAGCCTGCTTCCCCCCTCTCTCTGCCTGCCGCTCTGCCTACTTGTGATCTCTGTTATTCTGCCAAATAAATAAATAAAATCTTAAAAAAAAAAAAAGGAACTATTTAACCAAGGAGGTGAAAGACCTTTACAATGAAAACTACAAAACACTGCAGAAAGAAATTAAAGGCATAATAAGTAAATGGAAACATACCATATTCATGGGTTAGACGGCTTAATATTGTTTATATTAACTACCAAAGTGACCTACAGATTCAATGCAATCTCTATCAAAGTCTCAATGGCATTTTTTACAGAAAGAGCAAAACCCCATCCTAAAATTCATATGGAATCTCAAGGGACCCCAAAGAGTGAAAACAATATTAAGGAGGAAGAACAAAGTGGAATGACTTCCTAATTTCAAAACTTACAAAGACACTGTAATCAAAACAGTGTGGTAGTACTAGCATCAATAGAATAAATAAACAGAACTAAGTCATAAACCTTCACATACCTAGTCAAGTGACATTTTAGAAGCATCCCAAGACCACTCAATGGGGAAAGGACAGTCTTTTCAACAATTGGTGCTGGGAAAACTGCATATCCACATGCAAAAGAATAAAAGTTGGATTTTTATCTAACTTCATATATAAAAACTAACTCAAATGAATCAAAGATCTAAATGTAAGAGCTAAAACACAAAACTCTTAGAAGAGGGGCGCCTGGGTGGCTCAATCAGTTGGGCATGTCTTCAGCTTAGGTCATGATCCTGGAGTCCTGGGATCGAGCCCCACATAGGGCTCCTTGCTGATCAGGGAGCCTGTTTCTCCCTCTCCCCCTGCACTGTCTCCCCCTGCATTGTGCTCTCTCACTCTCTGTCAAATACATAAATAAAATCTTTTTTAAAAAATGATTATCTATAGGGACAAGGGAATAAGAATGGAAATAAGACTTTCCTGAATGCATCCTTTTAAACCATTCTGACTTTGCGAACATAACATGCCTTATGTATTCAAAACATTAAATGAAAAGGTAAAAAGAGCCATTTCTAAACACCTAAAAATAGAAACAAATGAACTTAACTGTATATCAAGTTGGTGACATAACCCCATAGAGAAAATAATTATTTCAAGTGACTTTAAAAGGCATTACTTCGGGGCACCTGGGTGGCTCAGTTAGGCATCTGCCTCTAGCTCAGGTCACTGTCCCAGGGTCCTGGGATTGAGCCCTGCATCGGGGTCCCTGCTCAGCAGGAAGCCTCCTTCTCCCTCTCCCATGCCCCCTGTTTGTGTTCCTTCTCTCACTGTGTCTCTGTCAAATGAATAAATAAAATCTTTAAAAAAATAAAATAAAATAAAAATAAAAGGCATTACTTTGTCTAGAAGTCCTGAATGGAATATGTTCAGAGGACAAAAAGAGCTGCAGAAAAATTTCAGCCTTCAATCGAAAGTCTAATTGTTTAAGATTTCCATGTAAAAGAAAAGTGATATTCAAGTGTAAGATCAAAGAACATTACATTTGAATGAGAAGTATCACTATGAACTCATGATATTTTCCTTCCCAAAAATACCTTTTTTTTTTTTAAGATTTTATTTATCCACTTGACAGAGAGATCACAAGTAGGCAGTGAAGCAGGCAGAGAGAGGAGGAAGCAGGCTCCCTGCTGAGCTGAGAGCCCGACGCAGGGCTGGATTCCAGGACCCTGAGATCATGACCCCAGTCGAAGGCAGAGGCTTAACCCACTGAGCCACCCAGGCACCCCCAAAATACATATTTTCTAGGGGCACCTGGGTGGCTCAGTGGGTTAAAGCCTCGGCTTTCGGCTCAGGTCATGATCCCAGAGTCCTGGGATGGAGTCCCGAGTCAGGCTCTCTGCTCGGCGGGGAGACTGCTTCCCATCCCCCTCTCTCTGCCTGCCTCTCTGCCTACTTCTGATCTCTATCTGTCAAATAAATAAATAAAATCTTTAAAAAAAATACATATTTTCTAAAAAAAAAAATTTTTTTTCTGAAAAGGCCTAAAGTAATGCCAAAAATTAGCAATCACTAGCACTCATATTGAGGTATCCAAATATATTTTGCCACTGAATCAATACTCCTTGGAGAAATTTGTATTCCAGGTCTGAGGCAGGAGATACACTAGATGATTCTAGAACATCTTATGGTATCCGAAAGCCACTGAAGTCACATCAAAATGACCTCAGGGCCAACTTGAAAGAGTTCCCATGAGCTAAAGATGGGACAATTTAAGCACAAAAAATAATGGCTGCAAACGATTGGTATATATAAAATATTTAAAAGTCTCTGAAGTCATTAAAAAAAAGTCAGAAAAGGGGCGCCTGGGTGGCTCAGTGGGTTAAAGCCTCTGCCTTCGGCTCAGGTCATGATCCCGGTGTCCTGGGATCGGGCCCTGCATCGGGCTCTCTGCTCTGCGGAGAGCCTGCTTCCTCCTCTCTCTGCCTGCCTCCCTGCCTGCTTGTGATCTCTCTCTCTCTGTCAAATAAATAAATAAAATCTTAAAAAAAAAAAAATGTCAGAAAAAAAAATCCCAAGTACTGGTCACCTTTAAAGGCTCCTAAGGGAGTAACTTCACTGTGAAAACTTATAAAGAAAAAGAATTAAGCTTCTATCCTGCCTCTTCTGTACAGACTCTATTTCAGGGTAACTAAGAGTTGATTAAGGAAAGTACTGTTTGTAAAAGAATTTCACCGATGCAGTGCCTAAGTATGACAGACTCTCACCATTTTGCAACCCTAATGGAATAACAAATCTGGGGAACAATGTTCAATGACTGGTAAAATCACCAGGTGAGAAGATGATGGGGAGCTCTGTAACAGAAGACAGGGCCCAGGATCACCAGAAGGCATGAGGACAGAGCCTCCGTGCCTCGTGCCGTGGGCCTGGCAGGGAGTACACGCCACCACCTCTGAAGCCATGTGGCCCATGAGGTTAAACCTGAACCCAAAGAAGCCTCCTGATTTACCAGTTTATAGGAAATGCAAGAAAGAGAAGAACAATAAATGACACCAAATCCAGAATACGGGAAATGATGGCATTTGAAATGATAAATGACTTTATGGGTGGCTCAGTAGGTTAAGCCTCTGCCTTCAGCTCAGGTCATGATCTCGGGGTCCTGGGATCGAGCCCCGCATCACATCACGCTCTGTGCATGGTGGGGACTCTGCTTGGCCCTCTGCCTGCTGCTCCCCTGCTTGTGTTCGGTCTCTCTCTCTCTCTCTGACAAATAAATAAAACCTTAAAAAAAAAAAAAAGATAAATGACATTAGAATGTCAAGAGGTAAATAATATTCAAGAGGGGGAGGGGAGGATGGGCATGAACCGAGGTGCCCAGCGACAGAAGGCAGCAACGTGTGTGCCCAGGGAGGCAGTGCCGCAGGCCACAAGGTGGGGAAGCCCGGAGCACGCGCCCAGTGACAGACGGCAGACACGAAAGGTCGCACACAGTAGGACTCCATTCTCGTGAAATGTCCAGAACAAGCGAATCTAAGACACAAGAGGGCAGATGGGTAGTTGCCTCGGGCTGGGGAGCAGCGGGAGGGAAACAGGAAGTCAGCACCACGGGGACAGGCTTCTCTTTGGCGGGCGAGGAAAGTTCCAGCTGTGGCGAGGGCACACAGCTGTGAAGAAGGGTGAAAACACCGAGCTGTATACTCTAATCCGGGAACTGCCTGGGCTGCTGACTTTACCTCAACAAGGCTGTTAAATGTGGGGCGGGAGGGGGGCTTTTTATAAATCGAAAGCAACAGGTGGACTTCGGTGTCCCCGCATCAGGACCCGCCACCTATAGCAAACAGCTTCGAGACACTCGGGGAAGCACCCGGACGCGGGGCAGGTGTTCATCCGCTGCTTCTGACACTGGTAGGTCGGTTCCCCTCAGAGAGCGGGAAGAGACGGGGAAGCCAACGCCTGGTCGCCGCCCCACACGGGTGACGCTCACACGGAGGTCTGGCACTCCTTCCTACCTCCATTTATTTTTTTAAATTTAACCTTTTAAAAAGACTCCCAGAAGACTCTGATATCAGAGTCAACTTGGGAACCGCACCGTCCCTTCCCACACCAGCTATGGGGACCAAGTTGGCCCTGGACGCCCCCCGGGAGGGCTGCGTCCACACAGGGAAGCCTTAGGTGACCGGCCTTACAGCTGCAGGCTCACGTCGAGCAGCAGAGGAGGAGGCGGCGAGCTAGAGGGGCAGCAGTAGAGCTGCGGCTGCTCGCGGGGTCACTGGCAGCCCTAAGTCCCCGCTCACACAGCGCTCGGCAAGTACAAGCTGGACGGCGGCCGGGTCCCGGAGTCCTCACAACAACCACATGACGCCAGAACCGCTGGCCGCCCTGTTCAGAAGCCGAAACCCGGCGGCTCTAAGCTCCGCCCCTGCCCCTGACTAGGCTGGCCTAGGACAGAGTGGGCCCCACTCTGGGTTCAGGGCCTGTGCCCCTTCCTGGGCTCACGGCTCGTCTGAAAGCCCAGGAGAACAGTGTGGCCCACTCACTCCCCCGTCTTGCCCCCACTCACCAGGGCTTGGCCTCCTTGGCTGGGCCGCCTCCCTCCTACTTCCCTCCTCCTGGCCCCACGGGGCTCCAGCACAAGGCTCCTCTCCCCTCTCCATCCGGGTCAGGATGTCTGGTTTGGAGATGGCATAATCTGCACACGGAATGGAAGGAGAGCTAAGTCAGGCCTGGACACCCGCCCCCGCACCTGCCCGCAGAGCTGGAGACACACTGAGAACAGAAGTCAACGCAAAGACGCAGACCGCTGGAGGCGCATCTGCGGACACAGACCCAGATCGCCACCTCCGCAGCCTTACCCAGGGACACCAGCATCTCGTAGTTGCCCCGCATCACGTGCTTGTAGAGCTCCTTCTGCCACTCGTCCAGCTTGCCCCACTCTGGCTCAGAGAAATACACGGCCACGTCATCAAAGGTCACGGGCACCTGGAACCACAGGGGTCACGCATGCTCACCCACACACTTACAGGCACGGTCCCTCGGGCTGTCCCACCCCAGGGGCCCGAGGGATACCTTGGGGGCCTCCCCCTTGCTGCCCGGGGGCAGGCGCAGGATCCAGAAATTTCGGTTCCTCAGCAGGTTCTCCATGTTCTCCAGCCGCCTCTGCAGCAGCCCGTACTCCTGCAGCAGGGTCCCCAGCACGGCCCACTTGCCCTCCAGCTGGTTCCCGAACTCCACGGCCTTCTTCTCGCACTCCGCCAGCTTCTTCTCGGCCGTCCCTGTCCGCCCCTCCAGAGTCAGCAAGCGGGCCAGGCAGGAGTCCACCTTCTTCTCCAAGGCCTGGATGGCGGCCACCACCGTCCACAGTGTGATCTCCGTGGAGTACAGGTAAGAGTTTTTCTCCACAGCTGGTGGGGGTGACAGAGGAGGTGTCGAAGGGCTTTCGTCCTCTGTCTGCTTGTCCCTCTCTGGAGCCTGGCCACAAGAAGAGAAAGGGGAGATGGTCTCTGAATGACCCCATCTAAATGTGTACTTCAAAAAGCCTCACGATGACACCTGAACTGGGAAGGCCCCAGCTGGGATTCTAAGGGCCAGTCAGGCAGGTGTCGGAGGGAGGCAGGGACATCAGTGAAGGCAGGAAACACTGGCTGGACCAAGGCATTAGCAAGTGGAAAACGGGAGGAAACACACGGCCAAAGACAAAAGCATCTGCGGTTCTCAGGGGGCTTCCATCTTGGACCTTAGTCTCCTCCTCCTCCTCTGCAGATGAAGGGACAGGCCTGGCAGCGCAGAGAACATGAGCTCTGGTGCCAGAGAGCCCGGGTCCAAGCAGCAAGCCCACCGCTCCCACGCTGGCTGACTCTGGGCACCATCTTCCCACACAGCTTTCAACTTCACTTCCACATCTAGAAAACGGTACTCACAGGAGATGATCCTGAGAATGAATGACCCAGTCTTTGTTGAAAGCACTCAGCCCAGTGTCTAGCACGTGGTACATACTCAACGCACGCAAGCCCCACGTGGATTCAGCTGAGACGGTAACAGTAAGGATGCGGACGATGCTGCTGTTGATGGTTCTGGCTCAGGGACGTGGCAAGAAACGGATCCCCCTGGGCTTTTTTCCTCCACCTTTTCCATTCCACTGTCCTTCGGCACCTTGGAAAGAGCTTCCAGAGTGCCTCGACTCAGCCCGGTGCTGATGCACGGGCCGGAGCGTGTGCAACAGCCCAGTCCCAGGACCTGGTGCTAAAAGCCTTTTGGGGGGCCTGGGTGTCTCAGCTGGCTAAGCTTCAGCCTGCGGCTCAGGTCATGGTCCGAGTCCAGGGATCAAGGCCCATGTGAGACTCCCTACTCAGCTGGGAGTCTGCTTCTCCCTCTCCTTTCTGCTTGTGCTCTCTCTTGCTATTTCTGTCTTTCTCAAATAAATAAAATATTAAAAAGAAAAGAAAAGAAGGCAGGTATGCATCTGCCTGGGTTCTGGTTTGCCGCCCCCCACGTAAGTTCCCTGAGAGTGTGTGTGATTCACCATTGTATTCGCAACTCCTAAAAGAGTGCTAGCTGCTGAATGAATGAATGAATGACCCCACAATTAAACAACATTCATTCAGTAACAACTACTGGCCACCTGCCATTGTAAAGGGACCATGGGGGAATGCAGAAAAAATTATGTGGTTCTTCCTTCTCCAGGAGAAAAATTCTGTATAGAAGCAGAGTTGGGGGCAAATCATTCCTGTTTGTAAAGTTTCTCGGCAATCTCAGGCACTGTATGATGACAAAAGGAAAGGAGTAAACGGAAAGAAATGGTCAGAAAAAGTTCTGAGGGACTGGCCCAGGGCTAGGTGGGAGCTGGTGATGTCACCAATGAAGTTCCAGAAATACCCTGGGGGCGTATTCCCCAGGGGACAGGGCCACAAACCACAGTATTCCCACCCCCTTTCTCTCCCTTGCACTCAGGGAATCCTAAGGGAGGCACCCACCAAATTCATTAATTAAAGGAGTCGGAGTGGAAGTTCCTCCTTTCAAAGGAGCCACAAAAATCAAGGTTTCAAAAACTTCACTAAGAGGTATTAATAATAGTAGAAACCATTTACTGAGCTCTGTTTGCAAGGGATTTTCTGGTGTATCAAAACTAGCCAAAAGATTCTTTTCTCAAAATTGGGCATACTGCGCATTACCGGCCAACATTCTAAAATAATCCAAATAATCTAATCCAACATGCCAATCTGAGAAAAAAATCTACCTACAGTCCCTCTCGTAAACAGCATTTGACACCTTTCTCTTCGGTAAATGTAGAACACCGGGTGCCTCCATGAGAGTGTAATCCCGAAGTTCTGGCCTAGACGTCGGGCTACAGTCTGACTCGGTGAGTGACCCTGGGCCAGTCCCTTCCCTGAGCCTCACACTCGCGCTGTCTGAACCGCGTCGGGCTGGGCGACAGTCGTCCCTGCGTGCCTCCGACCAGACAATGGACGGGGGTGGGGGGGCAGGCGGGACACACAGCCAGCCGGCTTCTGGGCAAGGCCTGTCATCTGAAGTGCTGCTAGGAAGCAGGGCCTGTCCCCCAACGTCGGGGCCGCCCCGCAGCCCAGATGCCATTTGGGCCGCCCGCTCGGTCGACCCGAAAGCCCGGCCGGGACGCCAGACCCGGGGCGGCGGGGCGGACCGCGCTGGCGGGACGCGGCAGGCGCCAGCCTGGGCGGAGGCAGGAGGCCGCGCGGCGGGGCCGCTCCACGCCGGCGGAGCGCAGACCCTCACGGCGGCGGCGGCGGCGGCCCCAGGCCGTCTGGGCGTCCGCGGGCCGGGGCGCTTACCCGGGCGGGCGCCGCTTCGGCCATGGCTGCTCGCGTCCCTCACTCGGCGGCTGTCCTCGGCCTGGCCTGGCGGGCCTGGCGCAGCGCGCAGGCGGCGACGGAGGCGGAGCGGAGCCGCCCAGCCTCGGAGCTGCTGCCGGGCGGCCGCGAGCTGCGTCCGAGCCACGTGCCCCGTCGGCCCTTTAAACAAGAGCTGCGCTCGCGGCCGGGCACGAGGGTGCGCACAGCGCCCCCTGCAGCCCGAAGGACCGCACGTCCGCGGCCCGCGGCCTTCCGCGCGCGCCCGCCGGCCCTCGCGGCCTCGGGGGTCCAGGGTACCGAGGCCGCCCGCCCACCCTGGCCTGGGCCGCGGGAGTGGACGCCGGCGCGGGCTCCCCGCAGGCCCCGTGCAGGGGCAGCTCGGGGGGGCCCAGGCGTGGCCCCTAGCTCCCCTCCAGGACGCTTGGGCCCCAGCGTCCCACTTGGGAGAATCGAGTCAGGGAGCTAAGAAGCAGCTGTGCAGGACGCTAAGAAAACGTGGGCGTTCCCGTGTCGGGGCGGGGAAGGGCTGGCCTTGCCGGGGAATCCGAAGTAGCTTTCCCGCCGAACCGCCTCTGAAGGACCCAAGTGACTCGGTGTGGGTATACACGTTGCGCCTGGCGGGGGTGGGGGGTGGGGTGGGACAGATTTTAGAACTACTTGTTGCGCGCCTGGGGGACTCAGTCTGTTCAGTGGCTGCCTTCGGCTCAGGTCGTGATCTCAGGGTCCTAGGATGGAGCCCCACATCCAGCCTGCTTCTTCCTCTCCTCCCTGCTTGCGCTCTCTTGCCATCTCTCTCTCAAATAAATAAAATCACTAATTAATTAAAAAAAAAAACTTGTTTGGTTTTCCAGAACAAATAGTCTCAAGAAAAATTTATTTCATTAAAAACAAAAAAAAAATATATCTCTCTCCCTTCCCCAAATCCCCTTTTGGGAATCCTGCGTCTCCTCCTCCTTCCCAGGGGACCTACTTCCCCAGCAGACACTCTGCTCAGGGATGCTTCGCAGAGTCCCCTGGAGGCTTAGAAGGCTCAGTCTTCACCTGCCCGTCAGCCACCAGGCGGGGGTCTTCTGTAGCTTCGGCTCCAGGCGGGGAGTACAGCAAGAATAATCCAACACTTAATTCGGACCCTCACACTTCTCTAATAAACCACTCAAGCTGGGACCCATCTTCCTGATCTGTAACCCAAGAGACTTATTTTGGAAAACCAGAGTTAACCACTAAACATAATGTAAAACGTGCTATATGCAGTTTAAGCTTTATCTTCTATCTTTCCCACATTTCCCGTTCGTCTTAGTCTCAGAGCCTAGAGCCTATAAACTCTTCCCAGAGTAAATTATTCTGCAGGTCTTTTTAGTATTTTCTCTTTTTGGAGGAAGGGGAGAAAATTATTTGCCCATATTTTTGATCCAAGCAAAGGCATGGTCAGCTGACATATAAGAAAGAAACTGATAACTTCTCTGAGTAAGGTGCGCCCCTAGACTTTAGGGCAAGCTTAGGAAGTTTAGGAAATACAATCAATATGTAGATCATTCATTGTGGGGATCTCTGTTGAAATAACCCAACCTAATAACTTACAAATGTGTGCTGAAAGCATTAAGAGCATCCTTAGGCTCTCAGGGGGGTTGATCAGACCAAAATATTAAGGATTATAAAATACTGGTAAGCTGGGGCGCCTGGGTGGCTCAGTGGGTTAAAGCCTCTGCCTTTGGCTCAGATCATGATCTTGGGGTCCTGGGATCGAGCCCCACATCGGACTCTGCTCAGCGGGGAGCCTGCTTCCCCCCTCTCTCTGCCTGCCTCTCTGCCTACTTGTCATCTCTCTCTATCAAATAAATAAATAATACTGGTAAGTTGTGAGCTTGTAAGATTCAATGCCCATTGCAGAGAGTCTGGAAAATGGATGGGAGAGGGAGAAAACACTAGTATTTAATAAGCTCTGTTCAGGGAAGAGCGCTCTAATTTTCGCTACCTGTCTTGGATTTTTAGAAAGTTTCTGTAAGTCAGTGGTACTCAGATTTGAGTGTGCGTCACGCTTCCTGGTGTGCTGGTTACAACACAGACTGCTGGGCACCTGTATCAGAGCGTCCAGGTCTGAGGCTGGAGGGGTGGCGGTGGCCAGAACTTGGGGACTTCTGACTAGTTCGAAGGTGCTGCTGATTCTTCTGGCATGGTGATCGCGCTGTGAGAAACACTGTGTTTATCAGGTTCCTACAGCTGCCTCCCATTTCCATGCTCTCATTTTATAAATATTTTAAACAAAAAGCGCAAAATCTTTACCCCATAATGTGGCTTGCTGAGCAGACCAGCCCGGTATAGCTCAAATATAAACTACAATTACCTCCATCCTTATTTACTAAGGTTTCCTGTGTTTATTCTTTTTCTGGGTGAGACCTCCCGAGCCTGAATACCTCCCAGGGAGCTGACACTGCATTTCCAAAGTGAAGGCGCAGAACCTGGAGGAACAAGGGTGGCTCCACGAAGGCACAGGCCACTGAAGCAGCCCATCACCATGCCTCTCCTGCAGAAGGGGGTGTCGTCATTAGTCGAGGGCCCATGAACCACCATCTAGGGCCACTCAAGTGGGTTCAAGATGCTAAGGTACTGGTGTCCCCACCAGCACATCCCAGCCAAGAGACAGGGCAGCTTGAAGGGAGAATGCGTAGGACACCCCTCCCCCAATCTCCAGGCATGTAAGTTAGATTCGGAAGCATTAGGAAGGGAAGTCTTAGCAGAGAAAGACCAGAAGTATAACCAAGTCCCCCTTCCTCCAAGGAGCTTTCCCGAGTTCAGACAATACTGAGCTGTGAATACCCATGATACATGTTCATTCAACAAATATGGTGAGTACGTGCAAAGCCCCAGTGTGCAGAGCTGTGGAGTCTGGTCCCTGTACGAAAATCATCACATCCTGTTGATTCTGCCTTGGTGGTCTTGTCCATCCAGCCTTGCCCATGGCTCTTTTCCCATGGCAGCTGCTCCCAGTAGGGCCCTCATTGGCTCTTGTGGGTCTCATTTAGAAACCTAACATCCCCTAGCCCCAACCAAAAGCAAACCAAAAAACCCACATGATAGAACTCTCATTAATGTTCCTAAATCACAGCTAGAATCAGGTCACCCTTTTGCTCAAAGTCTTGGCTCCCCATTACTAACTCAATAAAATCCAAACTCCTTAGCCTGATCCCAACCCATCTTTCCAACCACATCACCCATTACCCCCCCTTCTCACATCCTAACCTTCAGCCAAATCAAATGAATTACGTGTATATAGCCAGAGTGTCTTCTCTCTTCCTCTTGTAGCTCCAACTACAGTGTCCTTCTTCCCACCCTTAAAGATCCAGTTCAAAAGTCACCTCTCTTAGTCTTCCCCAACACCTCACAACTAAACGTAATTGTTCTCTGAATTTCGACCTTTTTTTTAGCCTCACTCGGGACATGTAATTTTCTAATTGAATTAGATTCCCTTAACGGCCTAAAAACCCAAGAGCAAGATCTCAGATTTAACCGTACACACCTCCACGGACCTTGCACGTGGGGGCTACTCAGAGACTTGTGCGTGAACGCACACAGAATGGAATCTTGCGCTAGTCTGGGAATGGTTTATACAAACGTGCAGCAAGGGAGGAGACAGATTTTGATAGAATATAAATTTAACTAGGGCAAAGATCTGCTTTGTACACTTACTACACCAAGTATTTAAAACAGTGCCTAGGTATCTATCAGGTGTTTTTTTTTTTTTTAAGGAATTGACATCTTTATTTATTCATCTATATATTTTATCTTATTTTTTTAAAGATTTTATTTATTTATTTGACAGACAGAAATCACAAGTAGGCAGAGAGGCAGGCAGAGAGAGAGGAGGAAGCAGGCTCCCCGCGGAGCAGAAAGCCCCATATGGGGCTCGATCCCAGAACCCTGGGATCATGACCTGAGCTGAAGGCAGAGGCTTTAACCCGCTGAGCCACCCAGGCACCCCTCATCTATATATTTTAAAGATTTTATCTATTTGACAGAGAGAGAGAGATCACAAGTAGGCAGAGAGGCAGGCAGAGAGCGGGGAGAAGCAGGCTCCCTGCTGAACAGGGAGCCTGATGCGGGGCTCCATCCCAGGACCCCGGGATCATGACCTGAGCAGAAGGCAGAGGCTTAACCCACTGAGCCACCCAGGGACCTCTGATATGTAGGTATGTTGACTAAAAAAGACAAATGAGGGAGGCTTTCATAGAAGGGGGCTTATAAACTCAGCAGTGAGAATTTGGGGCGGGGCACCTGGGTGGCTCAGTCGTTAAGTGTCTGCCTTCGGCTCAGGTCATGATCTCAGGTTCCTGGGATTGGGCCCCGAATCAGGTCCCCTGCTCCGCAGGAAGCCTGCTTCTCCCTCTCCCACTCCAACTGCCTGTGCTCCCTCTCTCACCGTGTTTCTGTCAAATAAAAACTTAAAAAAAAAAAAAAAAAAACAGACTTTGGTTCACAGAGATGGGAATTCCTAGAAAATGGACAGCATGGCTTATTCACTAAATGGCTGGAAGCCCAACATGGCAGCAGCACAGATAATTTAAAGTGAAAGATGAAGAAATTCCGAGCGGGTTAGGTTTGTCAAAGTGTAAGTTCTATGCTAAAAAGCTCGCTCTTTACCAGTAGCCAGTCACATCCTCATGAGTCTTAGAGGAAAGCCCATGTCCAATTCGCGTGCCAGGACATTAACTCTGCTAGCAAAAAGGGATGTGGTTAAGGGTAGAAGAGCAGTTGGGTTCTTGGAGGGTTTCAGTGGGCAATGATCAGGACCCTACCTGGAGCAATAGGAAGATTAGAGTCACTAATGTTTGGTACTTAATTCTTCCTCATGTGTTGATTTAATCATTTTTTTAAAAATTTTTATTTGACAGGCAGAGATCACAAGTAGGCAGAGAGGCAGGCGGGGGGGGAGGGGGAGGAGGAAGCAGCCTCCCTAAGCAGAGAGCCCGATGTGAGGCTCAATCCCAGGACCCTGGGATCATGACCGGAGCTGAACCAAAGGCAGAGGCTTTAACCCACTGAGCCACCCAGGTGCCCCTGATTTAATCTTTCTAACCTGATCATCCGTGTCCTTCAGACAGCTCCATTTCCTGTTTCCTTCTCAGCACCTAACAGAGCTTTTTTTTTTTTTTTTTTTTAATTTATTTGACAGAGATCACAAGTAGGCCGAGAGGCAGGCAGAGAGAGAGGGGGAAGCAGGCTCCCCGTGAAGCAGAGAGCCCGATGCGGTGCTCGATCCCAGGACTGAGAGACCATGAACTGAGCTGAAGGCAGAGGCACAACCCAGTGAGCCACCCAGGCGCCCCCAGAGCTGACTTTTGATAGACATTTGAAGCAGAAAGAAGTTGATATTTTGTTCTCTCTCAAGAAGGTATTTCTTTGTACAGAGATTGACCTGGAGATCTGGTTAAAATCTCTAGATTCTGGGGGACCTGGGTGGCTCAGGTGGTTAAGCGTCTGCCTTTGGCTCAGGTCATGGTCCCAGGGTCCTGGGATTGAGCCCCACATTGGGCTCCTTGCTCAGGCGGAGTCTGCTTCTTCCTCTGCTCCTCTCACTCGCACATGCTCTCTCTCAAATAAAATCTTTAGAGGCGCCTGGGTGGCTCAGTGGGTTAAAGCCTCTGCCTTCGGCTCAGGTCATGATCCCAGGGTCCTGGGATTGAGCCCAGCATCGGGCTCTCTGCTTAGGGAGGCTGCTTCCTCCTCCCCCCCACCCACCTGCCTCTCTGCCTACTTGTGATCTCTGTCAAATAAATAAATAAAATCTTTAAAAAAATTAAAAAATAAAAAATAAATCTTTAAAAAACTCTTCAGATTCAGTGAGTCTGAATCTGCATTTCCACCAGGCTCCCAAGATATGCCGATGCTGCTGGCGCAGGGTCCACACTCTATGAAACAAGGACTCAGAATCCAGCCGGACCCGAAGTGCCTGATTGCGGTCAAGCAGAAGCAACAGCGCCCATGGCTGAGTGTGCGGGATCTGAAGCAAGACGGCCTGGGTTTGCAGCTGCCTCCGCCCGCTCCTTCACTTCTCAGAATGCTTCCCACATCTCATGTGTGAGACAGTATAATCATACCCACCACATAGGGCTGTATGAGGTCATTTTGAAAAGAATCCCTTGTGGGGCACCTGGGTGGCTCAGTGGGTTAAAGCCTCTGCCTTCGGCTCAGGTCATGATCCCGGGGTCCTGGGACTGAGCCCCGCATCGGGCTCTCAGCTCAGCTGAGAAACTGCTTTCCACCCCCACCACCCACCTGCCTCTCTGCCTACTTGTAATCTCTGTCAAATAAATAAATAAAATCTTTTAAAAATAAATAAATAAAAATAAAAAGAATCCCTTGCAGAGTGCTCAGTACTAGCCGTTATTACTGCCCACCTGCCTAATGCAATTATCCTCCTGCCTCAAGGAAAACAACACTGCCAGAGAACCAGAATCCTAGCCAGTAACTTTCTCTCCCCACAATGCAAGACAGACGGGACACAGTAAAACACTCAACTGGGGGGTGAGGGCGGGGGCGCCTGCAGGGCTCAGTCGGCGGGGCATCCGGCTCTTGGTTTTGGCTCAGGCCATGAGATGAGCCCTGGGGTGGGCTCCATGCTGGGCATGGTGTCAGCTTCAGAGTCCTTCTCCCTCTTCCTTGGGTCCTCGCCCCACTCATGCTCTCTAAATACACACAGACACACACATACACACATATCACTCCGTCAGGACGTAAAAATAAGGATGGGGTATAGGGGAATCTGAGGCAAAAGCTTGAGGGTAGGAGACCACAGAAGGAATTCAGGAGAGTAGCTCCTTAGGTTTCCCACATCTAGTGCAGCTGACACCTCAGCTGAGCACGGCACCCGCCCAAGACTTCCCTCCACGTTCAGTTGCTCCACCAAGACCATCCCATTCGTTACAGCGACCCAAGTTTATTTTTATCTATTTACTTATTCCTTTTTATTCCCATATCCCACTCACTGCTCCCACAAGCAACTATAAGGCCTTCAAGATGTAACTTTGGGTTTCTATGTGTTCTTTCTTGCCCAGTGTTTTGGTTTGTGTACATGACTTTTTGACTGTACATATATAGTACTGACATAGATCTCAATCAATCGCTTCCATCCTCCTACCCGGCACTGTATGTTTCTCTAAGCCAATATCCCTAAGGCCTACTCGGGAGTCCCCGGTGCACCCACCGTAGCTCACCCGCTCCGTCTTCCCACCATCTCCAACAACCAACAGCCAGACCGCCTGCAGCCCTCGACCACCACACACAGGGTCCCAGGACTACTCTCACACATGCTCTCTGCTCATCTGTTCTACATTTAAGTAACAATGCACGTCAGCCTGGGACCTCAGGCCTCTGTCACTGCTCCCCATCAGCCACCTCCTCCACCCTGGTATTCCTAACAAAGGGAGAAAAATATCCAACATGAGCTTTTTTTTTTTTTGGCTAGTAGCCAAGTTTTATTCTAAGCAACTATAAATCGTCAAAGGGGACATTCACATAGGACCCAGGAGCCCACTCCCATCTCCCCAAACAACAGCGGGGCAGGCATTCAACACTCCTGAGAAACAAGCATTTTTGTGCGTTTTCTCCACCACCTCTGGAATAGTCAATCCCAGAACTAATTTGGAAAATGTGTGATCTACACAACCCCGAGAAACAACTGGTGTAATAAGAACAAACTCCAACACCCACGGGAACAAGTCAGACAACTGTAAGTAACAAACAGTCTTCTGCCCTGGGCGGTGGCAGGACCCAGCGAGGACTAGGACGGAAGAGGAAGGTTCTGGTGAGAAACCTGGGCTCCCGAGCAGCAGCAGCAGCAGCGCGCTCTCAGCTGCGTCCCCGGGCTCTTCCTTCTCAGCAGGGGCGGTGAGGTCTCCCCACTTTCCTCCTCTCGCTCCTCTAGATTCGGTCACCCACGTGAGCAAGGACCCCCAGAAGAAGGAGCTCAGCACTCTGCCCCCGATTTCTGAACTAAGTGTGGATGGGCTAAAAGAGCCCCATAAACAAATCCCTCGTAGAGGGCAGGGCCAGTCCCCATGTTAGGAACGACTTCTACAATGCTGGAAATTTAAAAAAACAAGTGTCGGACTGTGTATTTTTAAATCAACTAAAATCTAATTCCAAAAAAGTTTCCTCAGAACAGGGTAAGCAGTCATTTAAATTATTTCTTCTCCGTGTTTTTAACAAAGACACTACAAAAGAGGAGAGAGAAGGGGGCGTGTCCCACAACTCCTCCATACACCTGCTCGCCCCACTGGCCGACCCAACCTCTGGGAAGACCTGAAATGCTGGCACACGACCTGGAACCAGCCACGAGGGCCCGCAGGGTCAGAGAGCCAACCGCAGCCCACAAACAGCAGCCCCGACGGGAAAACCAGAGTCCTGCAGGTGCCAGAAACAACAAGCTCCACAGCAGGGTAGAGATAGCAGGGAGAGGAGCGGCCCCGGACTCCTCTCTTCCACAGTTTCCAGGACAGCCTCTGGGCTTGGCCTGGTGCTTGGCCAACGGAAGGGCTCTCCTCAGGAAGCAGTCAGTCCCTGACTGTGCAGTGTCTCTTCGGGGGGGACCAATGCCAGCCCCTTCTGCTCCCCCCCCACCTGGACGGACAAGGGGCTGGCACCCTTAAAGCAGGCCATTGGGCCTCCCGGGCTCCAGGGCCAGCCCGCCCCGCTCCCGCTGGTGGATCTTCTGGTGCTGCAGAAGGTGCTGCTTCTGGACAAAGCTCTTCTCGCACTCGGAGCAGCTGTAGGGCCGTTCGCCCGTGTGGATGCGCTGGTGCCGCACCAAATCCGACGGATGGCTGAAGCTCTTGCCACAGTAACCACAGATGAGGGAACTCCGGCTTTTCCTCCAAGGGATGTGGCCAGGCAGCGCCACCAGGCTGTTGGGCGAGAACCTCTCCTGGACACGGCGGCCAGCACTGGGCCCCTCCTGCACGTGGCAGCGCTGGTGGGTCACGAGGCTCACCCTGCAGCTGAAGCTCCTCAGGCACACGTCGCACTGGTGCAGCCTCGCCCTCTTGGACGGGGGCTTCAGCTGCGGCCTGGGTCTACGGCTCTCCTCGGGCTCTGAGGCTGCGTAAGGCCCCCACCCCGAGTGGGTCTGCAGGTGCGCAGCGAGCTGCTGCTCATAGTGGAAGCTGACCTCGCACTCGGAGCATTCATAGGGGCCAGAAGCGTCCCTTTTCAGCTTTAGGCCCGGCCCGCATTCCTGACCCAGCTGCACCTGCCTACTGGGCTTCGGCTTCGGGAGGCAGCTCAGAGTTCTGCCACCGCTAGGGTCTCTACTTCCCTCAATGGGATCCTCCAGAGTAGCGTCCCTGGGGCCGGACTCCAAGAGGACAGAACCACCCTGACCACCCCAGAGTTCAGTATTCTCTGGGCTCAGGAAAGCCTGCTCTTTGGCAATGCCCGAGAACTCTCCACGAAGACCCGCAGAGCCTTCCTGAGCGCACTGGATCTCCGGCTTGATCATCACCCCTCCTGCTGCCAAGAGAAAGACGACCAACAAGAAAGATCACGTTCTAGCACTTTCAGTTTCTTCAGAGCTAAACAAACACCTGTGAGTTTCACAAGAGCTCTAATCAAAGCACCCCACGATAAGGGCATTAGGACAATTTGGAGAAGGAGACTGGGTTCTAAGATCAGAAAAACTAAACCCATTTTTTTTTAGGACAATGTTATAAATAACAGTTCTCTAAGCTTGTCCATAAATCTGTATTCAATTCCTGTAAAAACATGGCAAAATATACTATAACTATACTAATTTAACAGTTCAAAATAATAAACATGAACAATTAAAATAAAAAACAAAACCACCCTTAAACCTAAAGTTTAAATATTCACGCATCCAGCCCCAGTCTTCCTGCACATCTCCCCCCTCCCCATACCTGGCTTATAAATGCTCTGCCTGCCTCTCACCCCAGGCTTCACTCCTACGATCTGACCAACCCTATCCTCAGTCTCCAGCGGGTTTTCACTTGAGCTACTGCTCTGCTCTGTACGGGAGCGCAGATGTGAAGCAGGATCCATCACAACACATACGGTCTCCCCAGTGGTAAGAAATGAAGACACAGAGATGTTAGGTGAACTCATGAAACTCACAAAGAAATCTAAAATAAGTAATACCAGATAGGCTGCTGACAACCAGCATTCAGTAGTTTGGCCGTGGGAAAGCTCACTATAGGCCACAGGGAGTGCAGGGATGGAATATTCTGGATCCACTCACCTGGGTGGACATCACCAGGGCCTTCCTCCTCCAAGTCGCCCAGCATCCCTGCACCCAATTCCACTTCTTCTTCTGGCTGGCCAAGGACCTCTGGTTTGGAATAGGCACAGTGTGAGCCCAGCAGACGGTACAAGCTCACCGCGCACTGTGCAGGTGCCGATGAACAAGGTGACCAGTGTCAGGGGTTGATATTACAAGGTCCAAAGATTAAAAAGCTACTGTTCTTCCCACTTCCCCGCCAGTGGCAGCTTGAGATGACTGGAAAATTCGAGCCGATTCGAGAAATCTATTCAGTCAGCTGCTGCCTCCAGCGGTCCTTCCTTAGCCACTGCGTTTCCGGCACTCAGGCTCCCCAGCCCACTCCCCTTCCCCGACCACCCTGCCCTCACGTGCACACGGTCTCAAGGGCTGCTTCTTTTCAGCGTATTTAATTTCGTCCATGCTGACACACTGCAAGGTGAGGTGGGCACCATATCCCCAGCTGGGACAGACAAGGAAACCGCCACGAGCAGAGCACAGAACTCGGCCCAGGGCACACACTCCCCTCCACCCCTTCTGCTCTCTCCCTCTCTGCTGCAGTCACACTGGCCTTTTTGACAGTCCTCCATGAAGCTCAGTTTTAAAAGATTTTGTTGGAGGTGCCTGGGTGGCTCAGTCGGCTGAGTGTCCACTCTTAGTTTTGGCTCAGATCATGGTCTCAGGATTGTGGGGTCGAGCCCCACGTCAGGCTCTGAGCAGTCTGCTTATCCCTCTCTCTGTTCTTCCCCATGTTCGCTCTCTCTCCAATAAATAAATAAAATCTTAAAAAAAGAAAAAAAACTCTACCAAAATCTACTTACTAATAACTAATATTTTATAAAGATGTATATCTATTTTTAAAAGATTTTATTTATTTGAGAGAAAGAGAAAATGAAAGAGAGAGCATGAGAGGGGAGAGGGCAGAGGGAGAAGCAGACTCCCCACTGAGCAGGGAGCCTGATAATGGGTCTTGATCCAGGGACTCCAGGATCATGACCTGAGCCAAAGGCAGTTGCTTAACCAACACAGCCACCCAGGCACCCCAAAGATGTATATCTATTAACCAGCACTTCTAATTAACACACACACACAAAAATAAAGTAAAAAACAAAAACTGAGCTCACAGGGACTGAATGTAATTCCACCCAAGGCCAAGAAAAATTTTTTGGTTAACCTGTACTGCCTGCCTCATCTCAGATAACAAAAGGATTTCTTGTCAAACAGTTTTAAGTATTAAAAACCGGATGAGGAACCCTGCTCACATAACACTACAATACACATTACCCTATAATGATGACATCCTTTAATAAATCTTATAATGAACTATGTGACCATAGAAAAGAAATACAAAATGCACAACACTAAGACCTTTCCAAGTCTTCATGAACCGAGGACCTAAAGACTCCCATTTCTTTTTTTCTTATTTTTCAAATTTTTATTTAAATTCTAGTTAGGGGGCGCCTGGGTGGCTCAGTGGATTAAAGCCTCTGCCTTTGGCTCAGGTCACGATCCCAGGGTCCTGGGATCGAGCCCCACATTGGGCTGTCTGCTCAGCAGAGAACCTGCTTCCCCCTCTCTCTCTGCCTGCCTCTCTGCCTGCTTGTGATCTCTGTCAAATAAATAAATAAAATCTTTAAAAAACAAAACAAAACTTTAAATTCTAGTTAGTGAACGTATACTGTAATATTGTTTTCAGGAATAGAATTTAGTGATTTATCACTTGCATAGGACACCCAGGGCTCATCACAAGTGCCCTCCTTAATGCCCATCACCACCTACCTATCCCCCTACCCATTTCCCTCCAGACCGAGAGGAGCCAAAACCAACTAGTCAAGGGTGTGGTCTGAGCCCCGCGCTACTGGGCCAGGGATGTGCAGACGTCTGCAAGAGAATTCTCGGGACGAACGTGCTACTTACTCAGAGAGACCAGAGTCTCGTAGTTGCTCTTCATCACGTTTCTGTAGAGCTCCTTCTGCCAGTCCTCCAGATTTCCCCACTCCTGCTCTGAGAAACAGACTCCATCGCTTTCAAGTGACCTGGACACCTGAAATTCAAATATCGTAGCATGAGTGCCTCCTGTCACAGCCACAAAAGCAAAGCCAGCAACTTGAATCTTAAATAATAAAGGGTAGGGCTCCCCATTCGGGCTTTAAAAAAAAAAGATTTTATTTACTTATCTGACACAGAGAGAGAGAGAGACACAGTGAGAGAGGGTACACAAGCTGAGAGCCCAAATGTGGGTCTCAATCCCAGGACCCTGGGATCATGACCTGAGCCGAAGGCAGACGCTTAACGACTGAGCCACCCAGGCGCCCTAGGCTAACTCTTAATTCCCAAGAGATCTACCTTGGGCCCCTCTCCACTGCTGCCCGGGGGCAGCCTCAGGACCCAGAAGTTGCTGCTCCTCAGCAGGTTCTCCATGTTCTCCAGCCGCCTCTGCAGCAGCCCGTACTCCTGCAGCAGGGTCCCCAGCACGGCCCACTTGCCCTCCAGCTGGTTCCCGAACTCCACGGCCGTCTTCTCGCAGTCCGCCAGCTTCTTCTCGGCCGTCCCTGTCCGCCCCTCTAGGCTCTGTAGCCGGGCGGCCTGGGACTCCATCTTCTTCTCCACGGCCTGAATGGCGGCCACCACAGTCCAGAGAGAGAGCTCTGTGGTCTGCAAGTAAGAGCTTTTCTCTGTCGCTTGTGGGGGAGGTGTGGAAGAGGTCAAAGGTGTGGGGCGGCGTTTCCTCCTGTGCTGAATGAAGAATCCGACACAGGGCCAGTCAGTGTCACTTCCAAACATCAAGTAAAGAAAACAATGCGTCCAGTGGGTCCAAGAGTATTACAGCTACTTAGTTTCTACCTTTTTTTTTTAAAGACTTTATTTATTTGACAGAGAGAGAGACAGAGCAGGAATACATGCAAGGTGAGCAGGAGAGAAGAGAAGCAGGCTTCCCGCCGAGCAGAGAGCCCAACCTGGGGCTCAATCCCAGAACCCTGGGATCATGACCTGAGCCAAAGGTAGACGCTCAATGACTAAAGCCACCCAGGCGCCCCAAAAGTATGCTCTTTTACACTCTTTTACTGTAGATTACACATACATGTACATTATAACACTGAAAAGTACAAAGAAAAGTTATGTAAAATACAACCATTCAGAAATAACCTGTTAGAATTTTGATCTTTTTTTTTAATCATTTAACTGGTTTTCCAAAGTTAAAATAATACTGTACATGTCTTATTACCCGCCCTTCACACCCGGCACAGTCTCTAAGATGACCAAGACACAATTACTCAGCAAGACCAATAAAGCTCAACTCATTTACCTTTGCACCCAAGCACCTAGTACAGTGAATAACACCAACTAAATTTTTTTTAGATTTTATTTTTTTGTCCGAGAGAGCGAGCGAGACAGCAAGCCATAAGCGGGGGGTGAGGCAGGCAGAGGGAAAAGCAGGTTCCCCACTGAGCAAGGAGTCCAACGTGGGGCTGGATCCCAGGATCCCAGAATCATGACCTGAGCCGAAGCCAGATGCCTAACCGACTGAGCCACTCGGGCATCCCCAACTACATCCTTCGTAAATATTTACGGACATGATTTGACGAAGCCCGCTGACATTTCCTTACACAGCTCATTTTTTATGATCCAGCCCTGAGGAGGGAAATCACTACCGCTGAAGCTCAACATTACGAAAGCCACCATGGGGGGGTGGTGTGTGTCCTCAGTTTCCTCTGACCCTGAAGCACCACTGCATGTTCACAAAGCTTCACGATTTTATATGGCATACACTTTCTTCAAAGCCGCTTCTCTATCCACAAGAATAGACACTAAGTTGGGTGATGGACATTGGGGACGGCATGGGCTATGGTGAGTGCCATGAAGTGTGTAAGCCTGACGATTCACGTACCTGTACCCCTGGGGCAAATAATACATCATATATTAATTAAAAAAAAAAAAAAAAGACACTAAGAGGAACCAGTTCTGAAAGAAGTGCTGGGGCCGGGACTTAGTGTCTGGAGAAATGGGACAAAACGAACCCAAGTGGCATGTAAATGAACACCTAAGCTTGGCCATGACCTATTCCAGTGACTCAACTCAGTTCATTACCAAACACGTGGGTTTAAAGCTTAACTGTCCCCCCGAAGAAGGATTTAAATAAAAGTCTCATGTAAAAGATCATCCCTGTCCCGCTCTCACTGCTTGTGCTCCCTGGGTCTCTCTCTGTCAGTAACTACAAACGAAACAAGACAGAACGTCAGACTGCTGGACAGACTCCCTTTATCCCATGTTTTGCTTTTCACTTTCAGTCACTCATCTCTAGCTCTTCAGAGCTGCCTCCTGCCTTTCTGCGGCTCAGCATTTTGTTGCTTGCTTCGCACAGGAAGGTGGGTCAGGATCTGAGCACTAAGTAAAAGGCAGAAAAGAGGTGTGAAATCAAGCTGCTTCTTCTGTTTTGAACTACCTATTGAGATGGAAACAATTCAAATGTCCACTGACTGGTGATTCAATAAACCGACCACAGTCCATCCGTATGTTACAGGTTGAATTTTCTTTTCCCAAAAAGATATGTTGAAGTCCCAACCCCTAGGACCTCAGAATGTGATCTTATCTGGAGAAGAATCTTTACAGAGGTAATCAAGCTCAATGAGGTCATCAGATGGGCTCTAATCAAACACGATTTGGTGTCCTTATAAAATAGGGGAGAGGGGCACCTGGGGCTTGCGCAGCTCGGTCAGTTAATCTGCTGCCTTCAGCTCAGGTCATGATCCCAGGGTCCCACTGTCCCCGGGTCCTGCTCAGCGGGGTCCTGCTTCTCCCTCTCCCTCTGCCTGCTGCCTCCCATACTTGTGCACTCTCTCGTCAAATAAATAAATAAAATCTCTTAAAAAATAAAATAAAATAGGGGAGAGATCTGGACAGAGACAGATGTGTACTTAGTGCAGACTATATGAAGACACACGGGGAAAAGACAGCTACGTGACAACAGAGGCAGAGGTCGGAGTTCTGCTGCCACAAGCCAAGAAAATGCGTGGGGCCATCAGGAGCTATGAGAGAAGCCTGAAAGAGATTCTCCGTTGTGGCCCTCAGAAGGCATCATGTCTGAGGACACGCTGATTTCAGACTTCCAGCCTCTAGAACTGCAGGACAGTACACTTCTGGTGTGTGAGCCCCTCAATTTGCAGTACTTTATTATAGCAGCCTTAAGGGTATTAATACGCCATACAATAAAATACTGTTACATTATTAACATAGTAATAATTAATGTGTTAAGCATGTTACATTGGCAATAAAAAGGGAAAAAATTACTGATACATCTAACAATATCGATCCCCAAATTATGCTGTCGAAGAAGCCAGACACAAAATGCCGTCTACTCTATTCCATTTGCATGACACTCAGGCAAGGCAAAACTCTAGGGACAGAAAACAGATTAGTGGGGGCACCTGGGTAGCTCAGATGGTTAAGAGTCTGCCTTCAGCTAAAGTCATGATCCCAAAGTCCTGGAATCGAGCCCCATGTCTGGCTCCCTATTCCGCTAGGAGTCTGCCTCTGCCTCTCCCTGTTTGTGTGCTCCCTTTCTCTCTCAAATATATAAATAAAATCTTAAAAAACAAAAAACCAAACCAGATCAGTGTTTGCCAGGAGCTGGGGGTGGGGGAAGACTGAATGCAAAGAAAAGCTTTCTGGGATGATGGAAATATTCTGTGTTTTGGTAGTCTGATCATGGCACACATTTATCAAAACTAGCCCAACTGTGTGAATGAGTGAATGTTGCTGTAGGTGAATTATCTCAGTAAGCACGGCTTAGTATCAAGAAAGAAGAAAATGTTAGCTGCCAGGAAAGATGCCATAAACAAAGTGTAAAAAAAACAAATGGGGAGAGGATATTTATAAACAAAGTATAAAATGGAAAGAAAAAAAATAACCCCAAATAAACCTGCAAACTGTAAGTAATTATGAGAACAGAAATGCAGGCTGTCCAAGAAGCAGTTGGGAGCACAAATACAACCAAGGAAAACCGCTTTTCACCCACCAAGCTGCCCCACTTGAAAGAGGGATAAGGAACTACAGAGATGAGTAGGATATAAAACTGGCATTTTTTTTTTTTAAGATTTTATTTATTTGACAGACAGAGATCACAAGGAGGCAGAGAGGCAGGCCGAGGGGCTCGATCCCAGGACCCTGGGATCACAACCTGAGCCGAAGGCAGAGGCTTTAGCCCACTGAGCCACCCAGGTGCCCCAAAACTGGCACTTTTATTAACATTCCTGGAAGGAATGAAAAATACTACAAACTTTATGGAAGGCAATCTCATAAAAGTCACTAAAAACCTTTTCACCTAGCAATCTCACTTCCAGGAATCTATTTTATAAAATAAAAGGCATTATTTACTGACATCCAAAATAAAAAATTAAGACAATTACTGGTAATATTCTTTGGAAAAGTCAAAGCTTGGAAATAATCTCCAGGTTTATTCATAAAGGAATGGTTAAATAAATTATGGCACAACCAAAAATGACACTATACTACCTTAAAAATAATGACCTGTATTATGGTTTGGAAGAGTTTTCATCATACCATCCTGGTTAAAAATTCAACTTTTAGGGAAATATATTTATTATGATTCCACTTTCTGAAAGAAGAGAAAATACATGAGTTTTTGTGTGTTTCAGCCCACAGAAAGGTCTGTGAATACATTCGTGAAACTGAACTGGTAACAGGACTTACCTCAGGGAAATGAGAGGGAGAGATTTTCATCATTCCTTGTAAACTATTGCTTGTTTGACTTCCTCAATAAACATGTATTTTTTTTTAAGATTTTATTTATTTATTTGAGAGAGAGACAGTGAGAGAGAGAACATGAGCGAGGAGAAGGTCAGAGGGAGAAGCAGACTCCCCATGGAGCTGGGAGCCCGATGTGGGACTTGATCCCGGGACCCCGGGATCATGACCTGAGCCGAAGGCAGTTGTCCAACCAACTGAGCCACCCCAGGCGTCCCTAAACATGTATTTTTAAAATAATTTTTCTTTTTACATAAATTCCACATGTAAGAGTATCCCTGATTGCAGTGAGAAATACGAAAAGTACACTTACAACCCCCAAACTTCTGGAGTTTCTGGGGCAGTTCTGTTGGCTCTCCTATCATACTATCAGATCAAGTCTAATACAATGGGCCTGCCACTACAGTCTGAAACCTTCACCAGTAAGTATAAGACATGGTCCCTGTTGCTAAGACACCTTCAATCTGCTGGAGTAAAATACAAAATAAGTAACATTCTCAAGTGGCATCTAAGGTGAACTAGACAATATTTAAGGTCACTTCCAACTCTGAGATACTATGACTTTTTAATACTGAATAGTAAAAAACAACTTCTATAATACGTAAGATATGGAAGGGAATGGTGACAAATCTCCATGAGCTACCACTCCGTTATCAAATATTGCTTCTGAAGTCCTCTGTATGACTGCCTATGTAACTACGATCCTGAATTTGGTTTTTCACTAGAAATTGTCTTTTTCATATTCTCACCAAATGCTTTTTTCCCAAAACATGTTTAGTTTTGCCAATCTTAGGACCTTACATAAATGGCATCGTTATTCCACAACACCTGAGAACACCCTACTGTTGCAGATGGCTATAATTAATTTTCACTTCTGCGTAACATTTCGCTGTGACAATACCACAACTTCCTTTTCCAGTCCATTATTTATTTGCCCCCATCTTTGTCATTACAAGTAGTGCTACAACGAACAGGACTGTGCACGGCTGCTAGTACATATGGGCAAGTTTCCTGAGGGTATAGTCCTAGGAAGGAATTGTTGGTTAATAGGGTATATATACAACTTGAACTTCAGTAAATAATGCCAAATATTTTCTAAAGTGGTTGTACAAATTTCATTCCTGTCAGAAGTATTAAGTATTCTGGATGTTTCCTAACTATGTCAACACTTGTAACTGTCAGACTAAAATTTTGTCCCTCCAAGGAAGTCTGAAATGTCATCATGATTTCCATCTACTTGTTCTTTGATTACTAACAAGGATAAGGATCTTCTAAATATTTATTGGCCATTCAAATACCTTTCAGTGAACTACCTGCTCAAGTCTTTTATCTGTTCATCTTTTGGGGTCCCTTTCTTCCTTTCTATCTCAGAATTTCTCTGGTAATTCTGGATACTATTCTTTATCCACACTGTATGTGTTGCAAACACCTCCTCCTTATTTGTGCCTCATTTTAAAAATTCACTTCATTGGGGCGCCTAGGCAGCTCGGTCGGCTCAGGTCAGGGTCCCAGGGTCCTGGGATTGAGCCCTGCATGGGGTTCCTTGCTCAGTGGAACCCTCTCCCCAACGCTCCCCCTGCTCGTGTGCACCGGCATTTGCCCGCTCACTGGCTGGCTATCTCTCTCTGTCAAATGAATAAATTTTTAAAAATCTTTAAAAAATAAAAAAAAAAATTAAAAGAACAAAAATTCACTTTATTTTTTAATAAAAAAATTAATGTAGTTGAGTTTGATCAATTCCTTTATGGTTTGAACTTCTGTCAAGTGAGAAAAATATCAATAATCCAGAATATTGTCTTCTAAACACTCCATAGTTTTGCTTTCACATTTGAGCAACTCAACTAGAACTGATGTTTCTGTGTGGTGCAGGGCTCAATTTTCACATGGGAAATCAACAGATCTAATATATGATGAAAAATCCATCAATTTACCCGAAGATTTGTAATGCGATCTCTGTCATGAAACAAGCTTTCATACACAGCAATCTGTCTCTGGCATTTCTAGTCTTGTTCTATGGGGTATTTTTTGTATTGCCTTACCAATATTAAAGTTTTAACAACCAAAGGTTTTTTAAAAATCATTATTGAGGGGCGCCTGGGTGGCTCAGTCATTAAGCGTCTGCCTTTGGCTCAGGTCATGATCCCAGGGTCCTAGGATCAAGCCCTGCATCGGGCTCCCTGCTCAGCGGGGAGCCTGCTTCTCCCTCTCCCACTCCCCATGCTTGTGTTCCCTCTCTCACTGTGTCTTCTATCAAATAAATAAATAAAATCTTAAAAAAAAAGGTATATCCTTAAAGTAATAATTATTGATATTTGGTAAGACAAGTCCCACCTCCCTGTTTGATAGTATTATCTTAACTATAGTGGATGCTGGTATTCTTTACATACTTGAAAGTTCTCAAAGGGGCACCTGGGTGGCTCTGTCTTTGGCTCAGGTCATGATTCCAGGGTCCTGAGATCAAGCCCTGTTCAGGCTCCCTGCTCAGAGCGGAGCCTGCTTTTTCTTCTCCCTCTCCCCCTCTCACTAGCTCAACACATACATGTGTGCAGTCTCTCTCAAATAAATATCTTTTAAAGTCTCATAAAAGTATCTTAAGAGACTCTGTCTACATCAAATCCATAGATAAATATACCCATACACAGTTTGCCACTCCTCTTTTAAGATATTTTTAGTATCTTTCAATATTTTAACATATTCCACTGATTACCACACAACAAATAATCCCAGTGTTTAATGGCTTAGGACAACATCTACTTTGCTCATGAATCTGCAATTCAAGAAGGGTTTGTGAGGAACAGTTTGTCTCTGCTCCACTCCATGTCAAGTGGAACAAATCACAGGCAGGCAGGCTGTGGAAAACACCTGAAAAATCCTAAACCACATGGAAAAAGCATATGGAGATATTCTGTTCAACAGCCCAACCTAAGGTCCCAGACTACAGTCAGCTGCCAGAACGCACTTTCATTTCTAAAAGGAATTTTTTTTTTTTAAGATTTTATTTATTTGACAGAGAAATCACAAGTAGACAGAGAAAGCGGGGAAGCAGACTCCTTGCTAAGCAGGGACCTCAGTCCCAGGACCCTAAGACCATGACCTGAGCTGAAGGCAGAGGCTTAACCCACTGAGCCATCCAGGTGCCCCTAAAAGGGCTCTTTTGCTCTCTTCACTTTTTATTCATTAATCTCTCTATACAGGCATACCTCAGAAATATTGCAAATTTGGTTCCAGAACACCACAATAAAGCAAGTATCATAATAAAGCATGTAAAATTAATTTTTTTGTTTTCCAGTGCATATAAATTTATACTACATTGTAGTTTATTAAGTGAACAATAGCATTATATCTAAAAAAATGTACATACCATAATTTAAAAATATTTTATTGCAAAAAAGAAAAAAAAGGCTAACCATCATCTGAGTTTTTAGCAAGCATAATTACGGGTCACAGAACATCATAATAAATATAATAATAAGGAAAAGGTTTAAAATATGTGAGAATTATCAAATTGTGACAGACACAAAATGAGCAGACGCTGTTGGAAAAATGGCAGCTGAGACTTGACACAGGGTTGCTATAAACTTTCAACTTGTAAAAAAGAAAGAAAAAGAAAGAAAGCACAGTATCTGCAAAGTATAATAAAGCAAAGCTCAATCAACGTGTGGTACGCCTATACACTGATATTATGTATTGACAGATATATGGACAAAAAAATCTTACCTGTGTTGTCCAAAAGCCACTAGAAACACACGGCTATTTAAACCCATATTAATTAAAACTGAATTAAAAATTCTGTTCCTCAGCCACACTACCTAAATTTCAAGTGCTTAATAGCCATAGATTTCTAGTGACTATACTGAACAGTAAAAAGCAGAATATTTCCATAATCTCTGAAAGTTCTACTGGATACAGCACACCTTAATTTTTTTTCTGCCTAAAAGAAACTAAGGTTTTTGTTACAGTCTTCTAACACGCCAGTTTTCCTTGTAGTTCTGTTAATCTGCTTTATATATTTTGAGTCTATATAATTACATGCAAAATACTAGAATGTCTTATCAAGCTGATAAAATGAGTCTCACCATTACAAAAATAGTAGTAGCCTCGATCTCTAGCAGTATTAATACAGATGAACCAATTTTTTTGATTCGTCTGGTATGTTTTCATATTCTTTTATGTTCAACCATTTCTGTAGCTTTGTCTTTTAGTTGTACCTCTTACAAACCATATAGTGACAACTCTTTGCCTTTTAACTGAACATTTAGTCCATTTACATTTATTGTAATTGTTGGTCTATTTTTATTGATTTTTGCCCTTTTTTGGCGTTGTCTTTCTTGCCTTCTTTTAGGTGATTTTTTCCTTACTCTATTTCCCCTTCTAACTTTTAAATTTTACAGCCATTTCTAATGTTTTAGCAAGTATCCTAGATATTACAGGAAGCATACTTCTAACAACCTTGAAACAAAAGAATTCTGATATCCTCTTCCTAACTTTTACCCCAATGCTGCCATGTATTTTAATTTGCCTGTTTTTAATCTCACAAGAGATTATTCCCGTTATAGTCAATCGATACATGTTCAGATTTATCCGTTTCCATGGGTCATCACACTTTCTTACATTTTCAGACTTTACATTTGGGCTAATTTTCCTTTTACCTGGTATATCCTTTACATTTTCCAGCTGCTACGTGGCTCAGTCTGTTAAGCCACTGATTTTGATTTCGGCTCTGGTCATGATCTCAGGGTCATGAGGTGGAGCCCAGCTTCTGGCTCCCTGATGGTAATGGAGCCTGCTTAAGATTTTCTCTCTCCCCTAAATCCCGTTCCTCCCCACCCCCACCCCGCTCCTCAACACCCCTCTCCACCCCAACCCGTCTCTCACTCAAAAAAAGAAAAGATTCTCCCTCTCCTTCTGCCCCTACACCACCCCCCACAGCGAGCTCTTAAAAAAATTCCCTCCCCCTCTTCCCCACCGCTCCTGCTCTCTTAAAAAATATAAAATATATACAAATATAAAAAAATACAAATATAACATGTATATATTTCTCTCCCCCCTCCTCCCTGTTGCGCTCTCTCTTAAAAAAAAATCTTTCTCCCTCTGCCCCTCCCCCCGCCCCCCGGCTCGCTCTTCTCTCTCTCAGAAGAAAAAAAGAAAAATCTGTCCCCCTGCCCCTCCCCCAGCTCGTGCGCGTGCTCTCTCGCGCGCACTCTCAAAAAAACAAAAAACAAAACCCCCAAAACCCCCCAAACCCAAAACAAGCCTCGGAGAAGTTTCTCCGCAACGGTGTGTGGCGCTGGGGCTCCGGCCCCACGGAGAAGGAGCCGGAGAGGGGGAAGGCAGTGACCTGGGGTCGTGGGAGGAGGCCGGTATTCGCTAGCAACAGCCCGGGGAGCCCGGGGAGCCCCGGGACCCCCAGCCCCACAGGGGTGCGAGCTTCGAAGCCCCGCCCCGGCCAGGAGCTCCGCCATCCCGAACGCGCCCGCGACCGGTGCCGGGAGCACCCTTACCCGAGTAGGCGCCGACTCCGCCATGGCTGCCAGTCGCCCCTCAACACCCGGGCCCCGCCCGATAGCCCTCGCGCTGCGTGCCGGACCGGTGGGCGCCCCAGCCCCTCCTCGAAGCCGCCACCAGTGCCGTGTTGATACAAGGTGCATTGTGGGAGTTCGGCCCTCCAGCTCCAAGAGCCTCTCCAGCGGCTGGTCCTCACAGCGCGGCATTTCCAGGGCGCCCCCGTGCGGCAGGAGGGTGAACAGCAGCTCGGCGCTCGGGCCGGAGTGTGCGACCAGGGAAGAGCTTGCTCCCTCCAAGCCAAGCGCACGTTGAGAATTGAAGGCAAACGCGGGACTTGTGTGTCTTCTACGTGCCCAGGAATCGCTTTAAGCGATTAAAAAATGCATAAAAGTCAGACTTTGTTCTGAGGGAAGAATATGTAACTTAGTTGGGAAAAAGAGATATGGAGCCAAATGGCATGTGTTTTATTCCATTTGTTCATCTGTTATTTGGCTTTCTAGAAACTAGAAACACATGGGGCGCCTGGATGGCCCAGTTAGTTAAGCCTCTGTCTTCGGCTCAGGTCACGATCTCAGGGTCCTGGGATCCAGCACCACATTGGGTTCCCTGCTCTTGGGGGACCGGCTTCTCCCTCTCTGCCCTTCCCCCTCCTCACACTCTCTCGCTCTCTCAAAAGAAAAGAAAAGAAAAGGAAAAAGAAAAAAAACCTAGAAATACACTTTCCCACCAACAGTGTGGAGTCAAGGTGCCCAGGCCAACCCACTGTATCCCATTAGTTATTGCAATCACACACCTTAGAAAATCCAAGAGAGCCCCGATTTCAAATGTTTAATCCCGTCCACATGTTACTGTTAAATGATGAGTTTGGAATTTTGATTTGGAAAGCATGGCTGCCTTTCCATTTGGTCACCCAATACAAATCACTACTGCAACCATACTTGTCTAATTTGTACCACATGGTTTCTATAGAGACAGGCAATGAACTTCCACTTGAATTATAGTTCTGAAGACCTTCCTCTGAGAGCTTAGCTCTTAAGATCAACAAACTGGCTCCTTAGCATGCAGGGCTCAGACTTTACCTCCTCTGATACATTCCCTGTCCCCCCTGCTTCCAGCCCAACGCCCTTCTCCATCCCAACCCTCAATCCTGATTCTCTGATCAAAAGTTTTCAGAGTATTATCACTAACAGAAATAACGTTTTTTCATCAGTTTACATGGTAAGGATGTGTCCATTTCACTAAAATGTCCCTCCACAATATACACCATTTTTTGCACACAGAAGTGCTCATATATATCTTTGGATGACTGAATGGTGAACCAGAGAATAAGGGTAGATAAAGTCACCTCCAAGAGAAGCAACCAGATCAACAGGAGACTCACCAAATCATTAATACATCTAAAGAAAGGATGGGTTGGGTCAGGACACCTGGGTGGCTCAGTCCTTGTCTTTGGCTTGGGTCATGATCCCAGGGTCCTGGGATTGAGCCCCACATCTGGCTCTCTGCTCAGTGGGGAATCTGCTTCTCCTTCCTCCATTCCCCTTGCTTATGTTCCCTCTATTTCTGTCTCTGTCAAATAAATAAAATCTTTTTTTAAAAAGAAAGAAAGAGAGAAAGAAAAAGAAAGAAAGGAAGGATGGGTCAAGCTGAGGAAACCAGTCAGTCACTGAGATATGTCTGGGGTCTGACCTACTTTCTCAGACCAAAAACTTACTGTCAGTCACAGAAAAAAAGGTATCATGTCTGTGGAGACAGACATAATCAGGACATAGGATACTGGGTACTGGGGTCATTAGCAGTTCAGTTCTAGAACCCTCTATTCTGTTTCTGTGTTCACCAGGCAATCTGATGATGCAAATTGCACATAGCTACTGGGAGACAACAGGCAGGTCAGGCTGATACAAACAACCAGTCCATCCCCTGGAAATGAGTAAACGGATGCTCCGGCTTATCCATCAGTTTCTTGAGCATCACTGTGATTCAGCACCCCGACTCTGAGCCTGGAACAGTGTGAAAACATTTAGATCAAATTTCCAGTGTGCAAAGGAGGCAGCACTAGGCACTGTCTGAATCTCACAGGCTTGCAGAGATGGTGTGCATGCTGCTTTAGGAAGTGGAGCCCAGGATGGGGGAAATAGGTGAAGGGGGTTAAGAGCACACTTATCTTTTTTTTTTTAAGCCTTTTTTAAGAAGATTTAATTAATTTATTTATTTGACAGAAAGATCACAAGTAGGCAGAGAAGCAGGCGGAGAGAGAGGAGGAAGCAGGCTCCCCGCTGACAGAGAGCCCAATGCGGGGCTCAATGCAGGGATCAATCCCAGGACCCTGGCATCATGACCTGAGCCGAAGGCAGAGGCTTTAACCCACTGAGCCACCCAGGCGCCCCTAGAGCACACTTATCTTGATGAGCACTGAGTAATACAGGGAACTGTTGAATTACTGGGGGAAAAAAAAAGATAAAAAAAGAAACCATTTTTTCAAATTGCAAATGTTTTAAAACTTGGGGCAAAATAATAGTGTCTACATTGATGTCGAGAGAGAGAGAAAGAAAGGGAGAAAGAGAGAAAGAGAAAAGCAAGACCACTGGTCTCTCCCACTTACTAGATGTGGGCAAGTCATTAACTTCTTGGCGCCTCCATTTCCTCATTACTAGTGAGTAACAGTAACAGCTCATACCTCACAGAGTTGTGCAGATTAAAAGAGTACGTTCGAGTGCTTAGAAAGTGCCTGTCAGGTGCAGAGTTCGAAAAGTGCTCCTGATCACTACAGTTTTCTGTGTTCTGGCTCCTTCCCTCACTAAGTAGTGTGACCTCTGCTTCCGTGTCTTCCCACTGAGAACACAAACATCATATCCTTGGGTTGTTGATGGGATTAAGAGAACACACACACGTAAGTAAAGCGCTTGTGTCACTGAATGCCTGGTGTGTAGCAAGCACTCTATGAGCAGCGACTTTTCATTTGGGTATGTTTTTGCTGTGACAATGTCCAAGCCTTGAGCTGCGATGAATTCACCAATAGAAACGTCACCTTGTTGTGTCTCTTAGAAGCTTTCCATTCCTTTCCCAATGACACTAAGATCGTGACACAGGTCTTTAAATAAACTTGTAAATATGACTCATAATTATTCCTATTATGGCCGTGGTATTAAGGGACTCGAGAAAATGTACTTAGTACTTGTAATCTGTCATCTGTGTGTCATCTGTGTGACACGCAGAGCTGAAACTGACCTTAGATGTCATCTCACCCACATCTTTGTTTCTAGTGAGAGAAAAAAGTATCCTTTGACTCACATACAGTACAAATTAAGTTTCAAATAGTGCTTTAGGAGAACCTGAGTGGTTCAGTCCTTAAGCGTCTGCCTTTGGCTCAGGGATCGAGCCCCGCATCAGGCTCTTTGTTCCGTGGGAAGCCTGCTTCTCCCTCTCCCACTGCCCCTGCTTATGTTCCCTCTCATTGTGTCTCTCTCTGCCAAATAAATAAAGAAAATCTTTAAAAAATAAATTAAATAAAATAATGCTTTAAAAATATTTCTCTGGATGCCTGAGTGGCTCAGTAGGTTAAGCCACTGCCTTTGGCTCAGGTCCTGATCCGAGGGTCCTCGGATCGAGTCCCGCATAGGGGCTCCTTGCTCAGCGGGGAGCCTGCTTCTCTCTCTGCCTCTGCCTGCCACTCTGCCTGCTTGTGCGCACTCTCTATGACAAATTAAAAAAAAAATATTTAAAATTATTTCTCTTGTTCTTTAAATGTTCTCTTGTGCATATGACTTCTAGCATACATATTAACATACATGTAATGTTATGTCCAAACATTATTTTACTCGAGAAAGTTATAGACCGTGACTTTATCCCACTTAGTTGAGACACTTTCTATTCTGTTCCCCTTATTATCCTGCAAGCCTCTAGCTGGCAGAGACCAGGTCTGTCATGCTCCTTCTCTCACATAAAGAACCTCCTGGGGAGCACACCCCCCAGGCCTCCAGGTCACCGTGACTCCTAGAATGAATCCATCTCGGTTCAAGCTGCACAGCACCCCCACCCCCCATATATGTACGCATATATGGACGCGGTGGACACTTAACACACACAGCATGTCCACAGGTGGTGGACATCTGTTAGTTTTGTCAACCTTGCACTTTTCCCTTCTTCTGGGCATAGATACACCTCTTCCTCTTTGGGGACAGCCCCTCCCTAGGCTCTAGCCATGTATTTGGAATGGGTACTGCCATCTTGTTTCGTAACAATGGCAGCCAGGTCACAGTGACTGTGCAAGGGTGGGCATTTGACTCAAGCCAGTCCGGTCATACCACCCTAGTCTCCTGGCCACAGTAATTGACCCAGGGGTGGGCATATGACTTAAGCTGGACCAATCAGAGCTCTTCCCTGGGATCATTTATTTATTAAATATTTTTATTTACTTATTTGACAAAGAGAGCAAAAGAGCACAAGCAGGGGGGAACAGTAGAGGGAGAGGGAGAAGCAGGCTCCCTGCTGAGCAGAGAGCCAGATGTGGGGCTCAATCCCAGGACCCCAGGATCATGACTTGAGCTGAAGGCAGATGCTCAACCATCTGAGCCAAGAGGAGCCCCTCCCTGGGATCTTTCTAATTAGACCTGAGGGGACAGGTTAATTTCCTTTGTGGTAAAGCTATAAATGTATGGGTCAGGAACAGTCTTGCCCCATTTCTTGGAGTAAGTTGGTTTGAGAAAATGATTCCAACGTAAAGGAGCAGAGATGAGAGACACATTTTTGTCTCTGTCCAGGATTGTTCTTTCAACTGTTCCTCTGAATCCGTGAAGGATTCTGGCTTCCTTCCAGAAACTTCCCCTTTCTCCATAGTTGACTAGTCAGCTTCAGCTAGAAGGACTAGGTGACTGGGTGACGAGTTTTTTTTGTTGTTTTGTTTTTTTCTTCGGCACATCCTTTTATCCACTTGGAATTTTGAATGTATTATTGTAAAATCTATTTGAAACTCCATGCATGGCTTAAAACCTGATGCAGAATTCCTCTTGGGGTTCGAACAGCACTTTGTTTTGCAATAGAGTTCTACTGGCCACTTTAATTGTGGAAAAACAGGCCCTAGGGAATGGCTTGGAAGGCAGAAGTTGAAGAAAGATAAAACTAAATTGCTCTCCATTATAAACTAGG